TTTACTATTATAGCAACCGCTTCTTCAGATGCTTTTTTACAGTCCTGGAATGATGAATCTCCATATGCCTGGTAAGAAGAAAAACAAAGGTATGTTAAATCTTCTGAACAGTAAATTTTGACATAAAAGCACAATATGTACTAACAACAGAATTAAAATAGAAAATACAAGAGAACGAACAAGGTAAGCAACAGCTGACCTTAAAAATTGGCATTGCTCCAGTGTAGAACTTGACCGCATCAGCATATGCTTCTGACTTGATGCACTTTCCAAGTCTAGCAGGCAGATCATAAATGAACTGTTCTTTTCCACATAAGACAAATTTTGAGTAACTCACCATAGGCAAACACCAATGCATAAATAAACAGGGAGTAGATCAAACTCATCCTACCTGAAATTTTTCCTTAATAGCTTTTAGTTATGAGCTGTAACATCTAAAAACCATAAATTTGCCATGGGCTTCCCTATCTATTATTTGAATATTGCATTATAATCATAAAATTCAATCCTAGGGCTGCTGTCTCATTACTCACAGGTCACCACAAACATTTGAAAGTTCTTTAATACCTGAACTTTACGCAGAAGATTACGTGTTCGGTGCAACTTCTCTATGTGTTCTCTCTTCTCAAAAAGAGAAGTGTTGACCCCATCGCTTCTAGATTGAACTGACATTATCTGAAATTATAAATGAAGACAACATTTAATTTGCTGTAATCTCCCTGCCTCATTTCTTCTACATTATTGAAAAAATTCAACTAAAGTCGACACAAAAACATTCTAACACACCTTGTCAAGAAGCTGCTCCATATTTGCTTCCATGCCTACAATATTACTTTTCATCCTGGTAAAAGCAAATTTTCAGTACCAGTGAATTGAGGTTCTTAAACAGCAGTTGTGTAAGAACTTCAAAGATCCAATTGCAATAAATAAATTGAACAACAGTTACTAGGACATAAAAAATCCTGCCAAAATAAAAGTAACAACAGAATTTGAACAGAAAGATATAATGTTGATAAACCCTAATCCATTCTTCCCACAGTAAGAGTATAATGGCAGTGGCAATTGTTCACTAACGATTTTAAGCATTGAAAGAAGTTACCGTTTAATTGCATCCGTGGCACTGATAAACTTGTTATAGTTCTCGTAGACCAACATTTGCAAGTCAGTATCGAGATTCTTGATTTCGGCTGCCATTTCAACGTGCCTTTGAAGAAGCGCTTCCAAATTCGACTTATGTACCTACACATTTCGATCCAATCCATGCATAAGGGATCAAACCTTCCCATTTAACTACAAATCCAACCTAAAACAACATTAATCTAACCTAAACCACGAATTCCATTCCGAATAATTGATTTCTATGAAATCTATAATTATAATTCAATCAAATTTTAATCCGTGATTTGGATCGAATGAATTAGAGGGAGCGTACGAGGAGGTTCATGTACTGATCGGCATCGAAAGAGTTGGTGTTGATGGCATCTAATGCCCCGTGCTTTGAAGGAGCGTTGGGAGTTGAAGAAGGATCTGGAGAGTAGAAGCTCGACAATAGATCTCTCATTCTCTTAGCCTTGTCGTCCAACGGAACATCGTCCGTCCCCATTTTCGGCTCTTCCTACTACTGATTTATTCTCTGCGGATCAGATAGAGATAGAATTTGGTTTTAGATCGGGAAATTTTAGTGAGGAGCGAGCGAAATCTTTTCAGGCAAGAGGAAGGACTACAGCAAGAGGAAGAAGAAGAGCCTGAATCACAAAACGATGTCGTCCAAGAGAGAATCAACAAAAAATTCCAGCGTGGTTTCCTTTTTTGGTGCTCTAGGCACGATCCAATCAGAAACGGGTATTTGTCCAAAAGGACCAAAACAGCCCCAAATTATTAAAGGACCAAGACAGAAATGCAAAGTTTACAAATTTTATTTGTCCTTTAGTGTAATTTACGTTTACAACACTTAACTCTCCTTAATTCCGCTGCATTTCCTTTCAAATTTATCAAATCTGATTTTTTTTTTTGGTGCGGGAAAATGAAAAAATCTTATAACTCTTTCTACATATAATTGTAGTTTGGCCATAGCATATAATGTTACTAACGTTGGCAAAAGAAAGTCACAATGATCCAAACATTCCCCCTGAAATTGTGTTGGCTTGGTCGCTTGGCTTATGTAATAATTTATAGCAGTTAAACTGTCCGCGAACTTATGGTAAAAAAAATATATAAAGAAAAAAACACTAGAAGGATGGCATATAATTGACTGCCTAACTAATTAGTAATTACAAGAAAATAGTACTCTTCTATTGTTATTTCAAGTATTTTTTTTTCTTTTTTCCTTTTCTTCATCGGTCGTCATTTCTACTTCTCCTCTTCCCACCATTACCTACCTTTCAAGCGTCCCATGCAAAAGTCAAGTACTCACTTTGTTAACACTCATACTGCCCTTAAAATACTTATTTAAAAATATAATTATAATTTCATAAATTTTGAATACCAATATTAAGGTTTAGATAATTTGTTAAACTTAACATATTACAATAAAAAATATGTACAAGAAAAGCTTTAAAAGCATTTGGTATAATATTTTAAACAATTCAAACAAATCTTTATTCTTTTATTATCTTTAATTAAATTTTATATTTTTATTATCATTTTTTGTCAAGTAATGATGACATGACATGTTAAACATACTATAATTAATTAATTATATAAAATACTAATTTAATATGATAACAAAATCACATGATATTTTTTATATTTCACACTATGTGAGTTTAAAATAGTAAGTGACATCTTGATTAGTAGAAATTAATCAATTACTAATTATAAAATTATATATCATCCAAAATAACAATGTAATACCTTGATTGATTAATTGGATGTAATAAAAAATAAAATTATATTTAAAATAATTGATAAATTTTTAAATCATCATTCTAATGTGTTTTCATACTTCAAACCATTTGCACAAACATAAATACCACATCCATCAAGAGCAATAAGGTGTATTAAATTCAAGTGCTAAAAACCTACAACATCGCGTTCATAATTCTCACCTTTACAATATTCTAAATGTGAAGCCTTGTCAACATATAAAAAAAAAGGACATCCAATTGATATATTAAAAAGACCTTACTTAACAACTCTTGTTTGGTAATAGATAGAGTGATTATTAAATTTTTTAATAGAAAATTTGAGGTCTAAAATTTGAAATTCTACCTCTCTTATATTTCTTACATGAAAAAAAAAAGAAAATGAATTTTAGTAGCACTATTTATTGTCACTACTGTTTATTAAACTTGTATCTTTCCTTTTTTTTTTTCTTGAATAGTATCTTTCAATTGGATTAGTCTATTAGGCGGTGAATAAAAAATCTCTACTAATTCTTTTAAAGACCATACTTATTGCATTATCAAGGAGCCTAATATCCTGCAAACTCGGTTTCGTGCTAACTACTACAAAACATTCACGTGATTTCGCCACAACCATATATTCTAATTCATAATAATAAATAATAATAAAATATTTAAATAATATACCCTCAAAGCATTTCCTTTTTTTTCCTTTGTAATTTCGTGTAAAAAAATAAATAAATTTCTTCAGATAAACGAACACAATAATATGCCTTTGAGAAACATAATAGAAAGCTAGATACAGATTCTACGTTGGAATAGGAAAAATGAAATAAAAAAAGGAAAGGAAGAACGAGATTTTTTTTTTTTGGATTTTAGATGATGAGCATTTATTGGTTTCACTAGTAAAAAATTTAATTTAAAAGAAAAATCTAACTTTGTTAAATTTATTAAGTAAAAGGCATTCAAACTTGAGTTATTTAAAATAATTTTACTATTTATTATGAGTCAAACTTATGTGATTAGGATAAAATAATGTAAAGATTCCATAATAATTATTACAAAATTGAATTTGGATTGTCATCACTTTTTGGGCAAAACTAAGATAAGTGACAATATCATCAAGTAAATTGTTTTTTTTTTATATATAATAGTATTGTTATTTTGATGCCCTCATAAACAAAAAGTTCTCATATTATCTCATATTTTACAAGATGTTAATTATTTTGACATGTTTGGATTTGTAAAACTATTATTAGTGGTGCTACTAATCCAATTATTTCTTTTTACTAGTACACGATTAAAACAAGAATATAAAGATCTCAAGTAAAACTTACCCTCTTTATCCCATTTTGTTTATTTCTTTTTTTTTTGTTAAATGAATTCAATTGTTACCATTATTAATTAAAATCTCAAAAAATATGTTATAATTTTATTAAAATAAAAGATGAAAGTTAAGTTAATTTGACAAAAAAATTAAAAAAAAAACAAATAAAATGAGACTGAGAGAAGACTTAAAAAGTTAAATTATAATGTAAAATTTGATTCTTATGCACCAAACATGCCAGGTGTATTCCATGCTAAGTAATAAACATCTTACCATAGACAATAGGGCATGCAGATAATGTGACAACTGAGAACTACCCCACCAAGATTTAAGAGTAAAAGGAATCCAACGTACCTGCCTTGTACGTAAAGGCCAAAACAACAAAATTGGAAAATACAGGCAATAATATTGGAAAAGTTTGATTACCTTATAATCTCATATTAATTTGGAAAATTTTGCTAATGTTTGGATGGCACTTATATTATCCAGCAAGATTTCCTAATTCAGCAATCAGTTTGGTGGCATAAATAGTGGTAGGCTGCTACCAAAAAATAAATTCAAGATAAAAATAATTTCCAAGATTTCCTATTTTTTGGAAAACTCAAGATAAATGGAATCCAATGGGTATCTTCCAAATAGGCTGTGCAAGAAGGCGTTGAATGCGTAGCTGTCCTCACTTTGCACGCCAGCGGTGACACCAAACCCATAACCCCTTTCAAAAGTTAACCAGTCAAAAGACCCTAAATACCCCTCAAATATTATATTATCCATTACCTAGCCAATCAGCCAATGAGGCCATCCTCTTTCCCCTATAAAAACCCCCTTCCCATTTAATGTAACCCTTTTTTCGTTTCGCTCTTGGTCGCTCTTGTTTCGTCTACTTTCCGTTTCTCTTCGCGTTTCCTTCTCTTCAACCAGCTAAGTATTCTTATTTCTTAATTTTCTTCTCTCTTTTCTTTCTTCTTCCCTGCTGTTCCTCGCCCGTGCTTTTTCCTTTTCTTCTTCCGATCTATAGATCTTGTTTGGATCTAGGGTTACTTGGGGTTCTTCTTTGTTATTTTTGGGCTGTTTTGTTCACGTCCGATCTGCGGATTAGGAGTCAGGTATTTGTAGAACCATTCCAATGATTTTAGATTTTCTATGAGCTACGCAGTCCTCATGCGTCGGATCCGTGTTCTTCACTCGTTCTCGGTTGTCTTCCTTTACTGGTTTTACGTTTTCTCATGAATTAGCCCCCTCTTTGTTCATCAACCTCCTTATCTAGATCTAACCCTAGTTAATTTCTCTGACTGTTGAAAATTTGAATTCCCTAATTATCATTCAATTTATTAATCTCCATTAAATATTTTCCCGGATAAAAATAAAAGAAAAAAACACTTCCCCTGAGATGGCTCCAGTGCAAAGGCCAGGGAGTTCCGGATCCGATTCCGACCCGCGATATGCAAACATCGACGAGAGGAAAAGGAAAAGAATGCTGTCAAACCGTGAATCTGCAAGGCGATCACGGATGAGGAAGCAGAAGCAGCTCGAAGATTTGGTTAGCGAAGTGGGCACATTGCAGAAAGACAACAGCCAGCTCTCTGAAAATATCAACGTCACCACCCAACGCTACATCGAGATGGTATCTGCCAACAACGTGTTAAGAGCTCAGGCAGTGGAATTGACCGATAGATTGCGGTCCCTGAACTCGGTGCTGCATATTGTGGAAGAAGTGAGCGGTCTTGATGTTGAAATCCCGGAGATTCCGGATTCCCTGTTGGAGCCGTGGCGGCTTCCCTGTCCGATTCAGCCAATTATGGCGTCGGTCGATATGTTCGAGTGTTGAACTGTTGATGGATGGACTCTCTTCCTTATCCGGATAATGCGGGTCCCTTGTCGAAGTCAGTTTGTGCTTGTGAGTGGTTCGTTAATGTTATCTTTTTCCTCTATGTTTTTGTCTGTGTTTTTGTTAATGTTAGATGATATAAAATTAGGTTTATTCTGATGTCGAGTCTGTTGAATGGGGAGTTTGGTTTTGCAGAAACCTTTTGGTGTTTTTTCTATTATGTACTTATGGATTTCGATGGATATGTGGAAAGTTAGTTTTCCAATGCAATGGTTCCTCTTTATAATATCAATTTCTTTCTGATTATTTGTTGGTTTGGATGCATGAACAGGATGTTTAATTGAAAAGTTGCTATAGAGTGATAAATGCATAAGTTATGGTTTGTTTTTTGCTACGTTTGGCAGAAGAAGCCAAGAAGGGGAAGTTAGTTGTTTGAAACTTTGGATATATCCAATGCTTTGGTTACATAAAAAGAGCAAAAAGTTGTAAAAAAAGGTTTCATAACTACCATTTTATGGGATGAAAAATGTGTTCACGCTTCCTCCCTAATGACATTCTTGGCATGTGCCAATACTTGTTGTTTTGATGATAGCAACTGGCATTTATGTTGTGATAAGCTATCTCAAGGGTTTAATTGAAATTCAGCATTTCTTTCCGGTAGTTGCTCCATTTGTTCTTTTTCCAAATTGTTATTGAATGTGATTTTTCAGAGCAACGTTAGTTCAATTTGAATTTGGTTCTGTAATAGAAATTGTAATGGACTTTGTCTTGCCTTGATGATGTGCTCCTTTCTTCCGGACAGACTTGGATTCGTCAATGTAAATAATGGACCCCTTCACATCTCTTGCTGTTTAATTGATTAGAGTATGCCTTAAGTAGAGTACGTGGTTAAGCGCTGTCCAATGCTGCCAAGGATTTCTTTGTTTCTTCATTCGTGTGAATGCTTGAAAAAAAAAAAACTCCCGTTAGTATGCAAGTGTACAAGCATGTTTATGGTGATGGGAAGTTCATTTGTTGATCAACCATTAGGATTAATAAAGTTTTTGAGCTGATCTAAGATATTTTACAAATTTAGATAAAGGTTGATGGTAAAGGAAGTTTCTAGGTGGATGGGTTCTTTCCCCCTGGGTGCCTTGTCTTCCCAGTTAATGGATACGAGGATATACCAGCTGTCAGGCTCTAGTTTAACAAGTGACACTTGTTGCTCCCTCCCTATGACTAGTAGGGCTGGATGGCTTTTGCTGGATTGAGGATGAGGATGGACTCCGTCAACCGATAGTACGCCGAAGTTGAAATTCGTGCTCATTTATATGTGTTTTGTCAAATTCAAAAATAACACGTTTGATAACGTAAGCATTCCCCACAGCTAAGAGAAATAGCTGTGACAGAAGATTGCGCAAGCAAAGGCGCAAAGGCAACCTTAACCTTGATTAGTAATCAATGGTTGTTCCAGAACTTTTTCATTGTCATGCAGTTTCGATAACCGCGGCCAATCTTAATAGTCGGCGCACCGCTCTAAGTAGGAATAATATCCAAACAATAGGCAATAATATTCTTAACAGTCGGCGATTTGGGCTTGGCGACGAAAAAAAAATCTTGAATCTTGCCTTTGCGTTAACGGTTAACTTTATAGTTTTCATCTAATCATTATGTCTGAATCAAATAAGAAACAATTCGTTGCAGCTTTATAAAAATAAAACATACTTTTCAGGAGATTAACTCAGAGATCCTCCTATGTAATAATGTAGGTTGCTTATAACCCCCTCTTGGATGCTATGAGCAGAATTCTATGAAACAGACGAAACCGGAATATAATTTTATTGTACTTATCTTTTCATTGATAAAAAAAATAAAAAGAAGAAGATTATGATGGCGATTTAGTTTCGGTGCAAATTTTGCAGGTGATTATCATAACTACTTCTTTTCGCCATCGCCGTCATTAAGATTGAGCCAACATCTCGAATCATAATTGCATCTGTATTTATTTTCCTGGTAAAAAAGGAAATACTATGATAAGGCCTAATATTATATTCTGAGTATCTTTCGGATTAAGGAAAAACAAAAATTGTCCTACCTTTCTTTGCCTTTGTTCTAAAGATCTTTTAAAGTCTTCCTTTGCGCATACTAGCAGGGAATTTGCCAAATAATTTACGGAGAGTAAGAGTTCAATTTGATAAAATCCGAAAAGCAAGAGGGAATTGGTGCAGAACAACATCAATGGTTGGCGTCATTTTGTTGTGCTGATTAAGGACGATGTTGAACAAGATTTGCACATCTAAGAAGAACACAAAAAATTATCCTTCCTTCCTCAAGCTCATTAATTATTGATTTACCTAAACTAGATTGCGGCCATCTGCGCATGAAATGTGGAAGACCTCATTGTTAGGTCAAGTAGTATATTAAGACAGCGTCTGAAAACATAAAAAAAATCCATGTAATCCATAAAAACGCTTAAATTAAAAATTATCTGTTTCCCGAGTGTATGGTATGGGATTACAATCATTATAACCGGTAAACCACCAATAACATCTTCAGTTTCACATAAAACGGAGAGGTTTACAACATCTAAAAACTCCATCATCATCGATATCACCATATAAAAATTCTGACAATTTTCATCATCTAAGAAAAAAAGCTCAATAAATTAAAAAGCCCTTTCAATCCTCGTAAGTGCGGCACTCATCTGCCTCCGGGTTCTCTTTGCAGTAATTCTCCAAAGGATCGTTTCCTTTCTTCTTGTCCCTGGCGTGGCTGGCTGCCGCACTGAGCTCTTCCACCTCGTCCCAAGCCGCTACGCACTCTCCGCTCGCTGGGTCACCCGAGCACGCCTCCTCTGCTTCCTTGATGCTCTTTTCCACCTGTCCGATATGCTGTCAGGGGCAGCTCTCACGGGTCTGATCACCTGCATTCGCCTAGACCCCAACTGGGAGACCCTTTTCCGGGGCTGGTTCAAGTAGGGACCTTGACCGAACTAACCTTTGTGGAGTCTACTACGTTGGCTACGACTCTTGGGCTTACGAGGTTAAGACTAGATAGGGTTGCCATTGTTGCTTGTTGGTGCTCGCGTTCCTGTTCCTGTTTTCAGTGAAGAGTGAGAACTCTGCTTAATGTTTTCCGGAGTTGAAACGATGACAAAGGAGTGTTTATTGGAACTGTAATGGCTCGTGAACACAAATTTCTTATCATCTTGGGACCAATAAGAAATTTCCACGTCGGAGAAAAGTGGAGATATTTTATTGGAATATCATTTTTCTTGCTCAACATTTCGAGGGAATATCTAGTCCTAAATATTTATTAACCACTCATAACGCCGTTAAAGATCTAAGGGGTCCCGAACTCAAATCGGAATTTCAACAATTATTCTATTAAACTTTTTTCTTTTTCAGTGTTTTTAAATTAAATAGTTTGTGATAAATATATAAATTTACTATCTTCATTTAACAGATTAAAAATATCCATGACAAATGTAAAGGATTGGAATACCCATGAGAAGCGTAACACACCATAAACAATATCTTGACCAAATTCCCAAAGCAAGGGTTCAGACAGCGATATGCTGAATTTTCTTTTCTTTTTTCCTTTTTTTTTTGTCATTATATTGATCGGTCATTGTAGAACACACGAGAAATATCAAGATACCAACAGAGAATAAAAAAAAATTTAGACAAGAAAAAAAAAATCAAGTTATTGTAGTACGTTGGAATCTAAAATTTATGTTTTATAGTCAATTATATATTCTCTACTCATGTGAAAAAAAATACAATATACTAGGTATACTAAATTGAGGTTGTTCACATCAAAGGATAACTAATAATAGTAAATATTAGTTTGTTTAACTATATAAATTAACAAAGAATGCATTTAACTGTAGTTAAATCGATTAGACTACGGGGAACTTTCCTGAAGTAAAGTAAATCCGGGAAGAATGAGTGTGTTGTTAATGCAGGAATAAAAAACAAGCTTCACATGTAAAGGTGTTTAGGCTTTGCTTTGCTTGTTCATGCATCGTGTTTCTTTATTCCGCAGGTTTATTATATTCTTTCTCTCCTTTCTGTGACTTATTTTAAACCCTTGACAGCACCTTACGGCAGCAGGCACATCACCTATTCTTTTTGCATAATTCTCAATCCCATTTCTGAATTCGAAGACATGAATTTTCTTCGTAGCGGAAAGGTTCAACTGGTTCTCTTCATTTTTATCCTTATCATCGGTCTCACAGGTAACTCAAAGTTCATGCAACTCACTTTTGCAATTTGTTTTTTGTGTCTTTGACTCTTTGTTGTCACTTCGAATCTGAACTGAATTAATTTAATTTTAATCTAAAGGTCTAACCCTTCCAAAAGTCTCGCCTAGATTATGTTCATGAATTTCTCCTTTTTTACACAGCCAAAAAATGTCGTGAACTCAATGATGATGAGCAGGCTCCTCATAAAACTAGGCCCCAGCAATATAATTGCTTCGACATGAGAACTGGGAGTGCGGTATGCATTGCGGAGACTGCCATGAAGGCTTATTATTTGATGAGGTACAATCTGGACCCTGAACAAAGAAGTAAACCTGGAGTTGCTTTTGTATCGAAACACAATTTGGCACCCTACGTCGGTTCCGGGTGGGATCTGTTTGGGAGCCTTCCATTTCATAGTCACCCCAAAGGAGAGTTAACCAGTAAGGCTATTGGAGCTTTTATTGGAGACAATGTGGGGCGTTTTGTTGCTGAAAAGTGGGTCGGGGGTGAGACTAATTGTGTTGCAGCTAAAGATACTGGGGGACTGAACAAGGTCAGGTTGGCGTTTGTGTCGGGGAGTTTACTGGGGGGTTACGTAGGACGAGAAGTTGGGGTTATGGCGTATGATGTGTACCACGGGTTTGAGCATTTGTATAATTACCTTTTCCATCATCAAGAAGAAAAGTCTCCAAGCCCTGCTCTTGATCGGGAGCTGTGAAAAGCTGCAAACAGAAAATTAAGATTAACCGGTTTAGGATTCAACTTAATTTGCTGTGTTTGCTACTAAACCGGCGAAGGCCATGGACCTTGCCCGTCACAAATTATAGTTGCATGTAACTACGTAAATGTAAAGCAAGGGATGTAATGTAAAAATTAATTGTTGTAGATATTTATGGATTCAGTATGTATTGTTAGATACAAAGAAAAAGAATGAAAATAAAATTCATAAAATTGAATTTCTCAATCTTTTAATAAAATTAAAATATTACAAATGTCGATGTTCAAAATTTTTCATTAAGATATATTAATTTTAAACAATTTTATTATTCTCTAATATTATAGTAATACATTTATACGCGAACTTTGTCTAAATGTTGTGAGAATGCATAATTTACTATGACATTATAAAAGAAAAATATCATTTTTTTTCCTTTTAGCTGAATGGTTTAATTAGCATATAGAAAGGGCGTATTACCATTGTAGCATACACTACTGCACTCCCTCGTAGTACTTAAGAAACTTTCCGACCAAGAAAAGAGAGAAAAAAGATAAGAGATCCGTAGATTCCTTTGGACAACCATCTTTTAACAAGATGACGATTATATTGGACATGGTAACAACATTATGAGTTCATACTAGAAAGCTAAAACAAGGTTGCCAGACACATCGATCAAATGAGGCAACTACAAGGTCATCGTCAACTAGCTGTGACCACATCTTGGCTTCAGTATCTTTGTCCCTACCAACTATCTTCTAGTTGGAGGAGCACTTACGGCTTAGGCAGAAATTTAGAAAATACTAGAATCTTGGCTATGGGTGATTCTTTATTGGACTTCATTTCTAGTTTTTTTTTTCTTTTTTTTGATAGAAATAAGATTTGGTTAGACTTTACTATTGGTTTTCTCCTTGTGTTTGGTTAGAGTATATGAGAGAGAAAGAGAGAAAAAAAATTAAAACCCAGCATGTATTAACTCATAATAAAAAAAATAAATATCTGACAATTTGTAAAAGTTGAGACAGATAATGAGATAGAAGATTTGGATTCATATAATTTTATATGAAAGTAATTGTTCAATCAATTAAATTCTAATTATCAAATAAAATTCCATTGCAGAAGTTATGTTTAATGAAAAACAAATTAACAAAGCATATGCCTTTTATACTGACAAAAATGCCCAAAATATACTAAATAGGCATGATGAATATTGTTGTCATTCAAAAAAATAAAGAAGGAAAAGTCTTACCGTTTAAACTCATTGTTGGCAAGGTAATAGTACGGCTTATATTGTTTAGATATACAAATTATTGAAGACATATTTAGCAGTAGTAAATCAATTTAGAAAAAAAAAAATTGAAAACGGATCTCTTCCGAAGTACTAAACTAGATGTGTATTCTAAAATCCAAAATAAGAAACACGTTTCAGGGCATTTTTTTGCTTGTTCATGGCTATTATTTCTTTATTCCATACCTTGATTGGGTTCTTCCTTTCCTATTACAATCTATTTAACCCTTATAACACGTGTTACAACAATCATATCATACATACTTCTCAATCATATTTCTAAGTGATCCAACGAAGATTTAATTATAAAGGATTAAAAATATCCATGAGAAACGTAAAGAATTGGAATGCTCATGAGGGACGTAAAGCACCATAAATAATATCTTAGATCAAATTCCTAAAGCAAGGGTCCACAGCGATATGCTGAATTTTCTTTTGTTTTTCTGTCATTATATTGATAGGTCATTGTAGAAACACACAAGAAATATCAAGACACCAAGAGGGATTAAAAAAAAATTGGCCAAGATATTTTATTACTAGTTGGAATCTAAAATTTATGTTTTATAACGAATTATTCTCTACTCATGTGAAAATATATACAATATACTAGGTATACTAAATTGAGGTTGTTTACATCTTATATTGTTTAGAGATACAAATTAACGAAGATATATTTAGCCGTAGCAAAACCATTTAGGAAAAAAAAAAATTGAACTCTCTTCCGAAATACTAAACTAGATGTGTATTATAGAATGTAAAACAAGTTACACGTTTCAGGACATTTTTTTTTGCTTGGTCATGGCTATTATGTCTTTATTCCATAACTTTATTGGATTCTTCCTTTCCTATTTTGTCCTATTTAACCCTTATAAAACATGTTACAACAACCATATCATACAAACTTCTCAATCATATTTCTAAGGGACCGAACGAAGACATGAAGATTTTTGAGAAAGGGATAGTTCAATTGGTTTGTTTAGTTCTGGTCGCTTTGCTCTTTCTTGCCGGTAATTCAATTTTCATCTAGTTGGTTTTTTTTTAAATTTTAAATTTTGTATTTATTTCCACAGCAAATCTGCAATTTATAGTTATGGACTATTACGATGCATAGATGCCTAGAGCTAAATTATGTTAAAGTGTATAATGACGAAAGGAACTGATTTTCTAATAAAATTTTGGATGATTTGCAGCCAGACTAGGTCCTCATAAAACCTGGCCACAAAAATCTGATTGCTTCGACATGGGAACCGGCACCACCGCATGCCTAGCGAAGAGCCTAGCGAAGAACCTCTTGAAGGTGATTCCTTTAATGAAGTACGTTCCTGACGGGCAAAGAGGGGATCCTCAATCTGCTTTGGCAAAGTACAATTTGGCACCTTACATTGCTGCCTTGACGGACCTGGTAGAATCCTTTTACTCTAATCGTCCGACGGGAGAGGCATTCAGCAAGGCTGCTGGCACTTTCATCGGTGATCAAGTGGTCTCCCACGGCACAAAACCTTTGTTCAGGGGATGGAAGATTTGGGGGTTTCGTTCGGGGAGTATAATCGGGGCTTACTTCGGAGGAAAAGTTGGGGTTATGGCATATGATTTGTACAGTTTATACAATTCCATTTTCCATGGAAGAGGAAATAGTGTTGCTAGCTCCGTTCATAAGGAGCTATGAAAGCTACCGCCTAAGATGGCTAAAGACACAAGAAGTGAACACGTTCATGGAGAAACAACAAATTAATGTCTTTCCTCTTTTCCTTGGAAGCTTAGGATTTAACTTTGTTGAGTGTGAAAAAAAAAAAATGGTCTCCCTTGAACCATATGTCACAAAAGTTTAGAGTTAATAATGTAATGGATGGAATAATCTGTTATTAATGTTGTTAATAATTGTTAATCTTAAATAAAAATCAGAATTATTTATTTCTCTATTTATTTTTGTCTTTTTTTTTCTTTAACATAAGACTTCTTTTAACTACAACATTATGATATTTAATTAATTGCAAGATTTAATTAGTTTTAAAATGCTCTTTAATTACTTTTTTTTGAAGAATCAATCCTCTTTAATCACTATGACATTAGATTTTAATTAATTTATATTTTAATTCAATTACATATTAAATTTATAAACTTATCTTAAATTCAATTATGCATTAACTTTGAGATGAATGCTTTAAATAATCTTTAGTTAAAATAAATTAATTACCATTAATGTGAAAAAAAAGTCTAACATCAGTTACTTTTTTAAAAAAGATAAAAAAGTATTTCTCAAACTAATAGAGGAAAGTTTTATATTCATTAAAGCTTAATGGATGTTAATTATTTTCCTAATTGAATTATATACAACATTTTATAATAATTCAGAGTTGACTTACAGTTCAATCTAATTAAAGATACTTTAAGTTAATTAAATCTTTCAACCTATTAATAACTAATTAAATCTCACAATTTTGTAACCAAAAACCAAAAGTTTTGAAAAAAAGAGATAAAAGGAGAAATAAAAAATAAAATAAAATATTTACACTTTACATGCTCTCCATTCTTTTTATCTAATGGATTCTAAAACTTTTAATTTCTTTAACAGCTGATTTTTTTTTGAAAAACACTTCTTTAACGTTGATTTTTATTACAAATTGTATCTAAATTGTTGTTATTTGGATTTAGAATTATATGAATTATTTTATTTAATTTTTAAATTATTTATATTTATTTAATAATGTATTTATTAAAACATAAAAAATTAATAATGTATATATCAATTTAATGTTATTTTTATATTAAAAATACAATTCACAATTTCACATGCATTTGTGTGTTCCCAATTGCTAATATCTGCTTGACTTTTATGCTATGTTGATAATTTGTGCTAGGTTGTACTTCCTCTGATTGGCACAACTCAAGATAATGAAGCGCACAGGGTAAGGAGGTACACTCCGTAGCAGCAGATAAGAAACTCCGGCTGAAATCTACAGATTCTTTTCGGCCTGTAACTTTTTCAACATGATTGGACACGAGAGCAACAAGATGAGCCCACGCCTAGAAATGCAAGCATAAGAATAGAATATCAATCAATCAAATAAAAATAAATGATGCGCCTTCACAAGGTCTGTAATCGCCTCTCTCTGCTCTCCATCTCTCCTTTCTCTTCCTCCCTTCCGCCCTTTTCTCTCTCCCCAAACGCCAAGTCCCGATTCCCTTCTTCATCATCCGTCCGAACACCTGGCCACCTGAGAACTCATTCTAGGATCGCCTCCAAGACAGCCATGACCGGCTCCCGATTCCACCGCCTTCTCCCTATCCACTCTGCTCTTACTGAAGACGCTGCCGGCGGCAATGGCTCTAACGTCTCCGTTTCTTCTTCGGCTAACGCTTCCGCTACTTTGACTGAGGAAAACGATGGTACTTTACTTCTGTGAATTTTTAATCTGCCTGAACTGAATTTGAATATGCTTTCACTTAAAAGTTAGTTACTTAAAAGTTGAGTTTTGAATTTGATGTAGAAAATGTTGCAATCGGAGTTACATATTGTCTTCCACCGCCGGAAATTAGAGATATTGTTGATGCTCCACCGCTTCCGGCACTGTCATTTTCACCATTCCGGGATAAAATACTGTTTCTCAAGCGGAGATCTTTACCGCCGTTGGCAGAACTAGCGAAACTGGAGGAAAAGCTTGCTGGTATTCGAATTGATGGGAAATGCAACACCAGGAGCCGCATGTCTTTCTACACCGGTATAGGAATCCATCAACTAATGCCTGACGGCTCGTTGGGACCGGAGAAAGAGGTTCAAGGATTCCCTGATGGTGCTAAGATTAATTTCGTTACCTGGTCAAATGACGGTCAACATTTGGCCTTTAGTGTTCGCGTTGAGGAGGAGGATAGCAGTAGTAATAGTGGAAAGCTTAGAGTGTGGGTTGCAGATGTGGAAACTGGAATAGCTAGGCCGCTGTTTCAGTCACCGGATATATATCTGAATGCAGTTTTTGATAATTATATTTGGGTGGATGACTCTACCCTGTTAGTTTGTACTATTCCTTTGTCGCGCGGAGACCCGCCAAAGAAACCTTTGGTTCCTTTTGGCCCGAAGATTCAATCTAACGAACAGAAAAATGTCATTCAAGTTAGGACATTCCAGGATTTGCTGAAGGATGAGTATGATGAGGATTTGCTTGATTACTATGCCACCTCGCAACTTATTTTGGCTTCTTTGGATGGCACTGTGAAGGAAATAGGCACACCGGCTGTGTACACGTCTATGGATCCTTCCCCTGATGAGAACTACCTTTTGATTAGCTCAATCCATAGGCCGTATTCTTTTATTGTACCATGTGGAAGGTTCCCCAAGAAAGTGGATGTATGGACAAGTGATGGGAAATTTGTTAGAGAACTCTGCGACTTGCCCCTTGCTGAGGACATTCCTATTGCCTTTAGTAGCGTGCGGAAAGGGATGCGGTCAATCAATTGGAGAGCAGATAAGCCTTCAATGTTATATTGGTATGTATCTGCATCATTTACTCATTTATGCATTTCTAAAGATGAAATTGCCTATAATTATATGGGACTATACACGTTCCAAGTTCTAAATATTTTTAGATATTTAGTCGGAGTGCAAAGTTTTATGCAATCATCAGCACATGAAAGATGTTATGTGTAATCAAGTAATCAACATGTAAACATATGATGTAACCACTAACTTTTAATGATAAAATTTAATTTAAGCTTTTCTCGATGAAGTTGATTCTCTATGTAATTTTAGTTGCCTGACTGTGCTGAAGTTTTTAGGGCAGAGACACAAGATGGAGGTGATGCAAAAGTGGAAGTTTCGCCACGTGATATAATTTATACGCAGCCTGCAGAGCCACAAGAAGGTGAACAGCCAGAAATCTTGCTCAAACTTGATCTTCGCTATGGGTATGTATACATGTTTCATTTCTTAAATTTACTTCCATCTGCATGGTTTTCTTAATATTGATTTAAATTAGTGTATAAAGCTGACCTTTCTTTCTGGTGTATTTGCAATGATGTTTTAAAACCTCTGAGATGGGGAAAACATTGTGTTTGACTGCTTGCATATGTCAAAATTGTTTCCATCAAAGTACTGAATTTTTAAAAATGAGTCAAGACTAATAGAAAATGGAGTAAGACATATCCACTGAACTGAATTGCTACTAACTAATGTATGCTTATATTTATGTTTGACCACCATTCCGTGACACTCATTTCATTCCCTAACATGAAGATCTTTGAATTCTTCCGTTAAATGCATCATTCCTAAGCTTATCATTTATGGCTAAGGGATTGATTGGCTTATCAAGTATCGAGTAGTGGATCAAGCCATGGATTGCTGGAAATAAATTTAAAATATTGTGCAGACGGTTAATAGCAAGCTACTGTTTGGTCTTGAAAACCCCAAAAAAGTTTGAACAATGTTATCTAATATGTTTGATTCTTCATATTGACAGAGGGATTTCATGGTGTGATGATTCACTGGCTCTGGTTTATGAGTCTTGGTACAAGACACGTCGAACAAGAACCTGGGTGATATCTCCCGGATCGAAAGATGTGAGTCCACGCATACTTTTTGATAGGTCATCTGAGGATGTGTACTCTGATCCAGGCTCTCCCATGTTGAGGAGAACCCCTGCTGGGACTTATGTGATAGCTAAAATAAGGAAGGAAAATGATGAAGGCACTTATGTTCTCCTGAATGGAAATGGTGCTACACCAGAGGGGAACATCCCCTTCCTTGATTTGTTTGACATGTAAGTGTTTAATTCACCTTTGTTTGTGCATTCTCATTCGGCGTGGTGCCATACTGATCTAAAACATATTCTTCCAGATATACAGGCAGCAAAGAACGAATATGGGAAAGCAACAAGGAAAAGTACTATGAGAGTGTTGTTGCTTTGATGTCGGATCAGAAAGAAGGGGATATACACCTTAATGAGCTGAAGATACTTACTTCTAAAGAGTCAAAAACTGAAAACACCCAATATTACATTCAAAGTTGGCCAGATAGGAAAGTACATCAGATCACAGACTTCCCTCATCCATATCCACAGTTGGCATCACTGCAGAAGGAGATGATCAGATACCAGAGAAAGGATGGTGTTCAACTTACTGCAACATTGTACTTACCACCAGGCTATGATCCATCAAAAGATGGCCCTCTTCCTTGTCTAGTTTGGTCTTACCCTGGAGAATTTAAAAGCAAAGATGCTGCTGGACAAGTTCGCGGTTCTCCTAATGAATTTGCAGGCATAGGTCCAACATCACCTCTCCTTTGGCTTGCTAGAAGGCATGAAATTCTTCCTTCCTTATTTGCTTTTGTACTCTTTTTGAGTTTTTAGTTTTCCCTTGACTGATTTTCCCTTTTGAACTGGCTGCTGGTAGAGTAGTTATGGTTACCCTTATCTTCTGCTTTGCAGATTTGCTATTTTATCTGGACCGACAATCCCTATTATTGGTGAAGGGGATGAAGAAGCGAATGATAGGTAATGCATTACTTGTATGATTATACACATAAGCACATGAATGTGAGTGTGCATGTATATCCCATCCTATGACTTGAGGCCAGCCTAAGTGGCATCATCATATAACTATTTGTGTAGGTATGTAGAGCAACTGGTTTCAAGTGCAGAGGCAGCTGTTGAGGAAGTTATCAGACGTGGAGTAAGCATCCTCATTCCCTCACATACGACCAACAGTGGCGTCATACTGATTATAAATTTCTGGCTCAAGCTTTTCTGATGCTGTGTATGTTTAGGTAGCTCATCCTAACAAAATTGCTGTTGGGGGGCATTCCTATGGAGCATTCATGACAGCAAACCTCCTGGCACATGCTCCTCACCTTTTCTGTTGTGGGATTGCTCGGTCTGGAGCCTACAACAGAACCCTTACACCCTTTGGTTTTCAGGTAGTGCACTAGAGCTTATAAGTATATTCAATGTAATGCGTAATGCCTTTTAGCTTTTGAATATTATCACCCCATAATTTCTACCCTTTGTTCTCAATCTTCACCATTTATCTTTTGGACGGATTCATGGCTTTCTTCTCTCACTGGGACAGAATGAGGATAGAACTCTCTGGGAGGCAACTATTACCTATGTAGAGATGAGTCCATTCATGTCTGCGAATAAAATCAAGAAGCCAATCTTGCTTGTCCATGGAGAAGAAGACAATAACCCTGGAACACTAACCATGCAGGTATGTGGCTTTCCCACACCTTTGCATGTGGCCCTTTTAAGTTCAATTTTCTACCAGATTTATCAACTGACCACGGAATAAGTTACTGATAAAGTTTATTTATTCCCCCATTATCTGTGTGTTGATTTATGGAATGTTCATCCTCTTGCATCCCTTTTCCCTCCCTCTTCAACCTTGGCTCAAACACGACTTCGTCCATTTCTTTTTTAGCTCTTTGATATTTTTCAGTGATTTGACTTATCATTGATCTCTTCCTAACTTCTTTGCTTGCCTATTTATTGGGCTTATATATATGATGCAGTCCGATCGTTTCTTCAATGCTCTGAAGGGTCATGGAGCTCTTTGTCGCCTTGTCATTTTACCATTTGAGAGCCATGGCTATGCTGCACGAGAAAGCATCATGCATGTCCTCTGGGAAACTGATAGATGGCTTCAAAAGTATTGTGTGTCAAACACTTCTGATGTCAGTGCAGGTCTTGATACGAGCAAAGATGGTGCAAGTAATGAAGTTACAGAGTCTGAAAACAAAGTAGTTGGTGCCAGTGGAGGCAGTGGTGCAGAGTTGGCAGACTCTGAAAATGAAGAGTTCCATTCAAAGCCAAGGTCATTAATGTGGTAAGTTAATAATTCGTATGTTCTTTTTGTTCTTTACTTTCTTCAC